CACCTTCGGCGGCAAACACGCGAATAGTTTTGCTATTTTTCATAACGTTTTTCTTTTAGTCACATGCGTTTTACGCTTCTAGTCATATGCGTTTACGTATATTTAGAGACAAAACGGGATCTGAAAATGGTCATATTTTTCACTTTTTATAGATAAATAAATAAAACGTTTACAGTAATACGTTTACGTTTTGTGGTATACGTTCAGCGTCTAATATAAACGTTACCATACATAACCATGTAATAATCAACATAGAACATATACAAACACGTATATCTCAGGAACTAAGCATGCTACAGCATTCATATTTTCACACATAATAACGGAGGTCATGTGCGTAACAACTACATGGCTTCCGCATACTACACACTAAGACATTCGCAAGCACGAGTAACGGCAATGGTGAAATCGCATTCAATCGCATGCGATCACAATCAATAGAGTGAACACATTTAAATGGGTAGATATAGTGACTATGCGTTATTATAACATAGGTCCGAGGATTCAATGTAGAACAAATAATTATACAATAGTTGTTATTCACACGAATACATATATATAAGTAAATTAAATATATTTACCCATTGCATGCTCACATTTCACATAATTCACGCACACACATTACTAATAGTACTACTAAACTATCCTTACTCTAGCTGCGTGTGGAAACACAATCGACAACACAAGGTTAACTATATATACATAAACAATGTATTAAAACATGGGTGTGATCAACAACAATTAACTAATTGGTAGCAATCAATGGAATGGCCACATAGATCTTTAGACAGGGATACAAACATATATGATATACAATATAACACCTCATATCACACCAGATATGAACAGGCACGTATGATTTATCGTGCAATAATTAATGTATATACATAAATATTCAACAACACGTACACTAAGTTTCTACAAGAGAATGAATGTGACATATTTTATAACACGAAGATCTCACGGTAGACATGGTTTACAAAGTTACTGTAACTACAATATATGTCACAAATCTGTAATATTCACTTTAATAAATGGCGATAGGCAATAATATATTATACAATATATATATAAAGTTAACAGATCATCTATAGAATATCTTATTTGTGTACGGATTGGAGCCTCCCACCATTTCACAATTCAACAGGTCAAAATAAATACGAGTACAAAGCAAAAATTTATATGCAACAGAGTTAATATAACAAGATATCATTTATAATATTAGTACAACAGATAAGTATAATGTTTCATAGGCTATAACATCTATATGATAGAGGTTACCAAGGATAGTAGTACAGGTGTACTTCTCAAGACACTTGTTAAATTCAGACACGCAACTACATAGGCAAGGATATACCTCGACATAATATATATACTAGTACACACACGTAGATACATATTATAATATAAAACAGTTCATATAGAAAATCTTAAGAATGATTCAATGACTAATCTGCTCAAATATATAAGATACTTACAAGATTATCAGACATCAACTAAATGGATAATACTACATAGATTACTCGACCGATAGATACCAGTCCATGTATATAATATTTATAGTATAAGTTAGATGCAACCCAAAAGGATACTATAGAATACATCAATATTATTAATCTACATTTTGACCGAAACCACAGGAGATTGGGTTCGTCAGTAAATCATACATATCGACCACAATATATTGACAATTCTGCTTGTGACAACAAACAATCATTTATCATACTAATCAATTCTTAAACATGAGGATACAAATAGATACGACAATATAGATATAAAACTACAACAGCATATACTGGCCTACAATAGATCATATTGGCAATCACGATTACATACAAGATGCTACAAAGTGCGTATAAGACAACAAGTCTTGGACATTGTACAAACGAAAACACCATAACAATACATGTATGACACCACTAGTCACTAAATACAACTAGGTAATACATACATATGATACAATCGCATTCAGGTTCAGATTACGACGCACAACTAGCCGACATGTTAACACCACAGTAATACATGATCTGCCAAACAACATTACATCGCCCATCATTGCACTTACAAATACTGAGGTCTCATTACATCGCCCATCATTGCACTCACAAATACTGAGATCCTCCACAAAAGCGATAGGGTATGTTGGTCTGTTTCACACAGGGCAGTATATCCGCCTCACACGCGATTCACTCGTAATCCATAGTGTATAGGATAAGGCCACATATTGGTATCTTGAACAGGACTAAATACACATACATAGGGATACGGCCAACGCATATATTAACGATCGCTTGCACATATTGTACACAATTACAGTCATCGTTCATCACTCTCCTCCATGCAAGGAATATATAATAAACGCTAAAACGGTTACAAACGCCACACGTACAAGTGTTAATTGATTCATAGGTTGCGAATGATTAAACAGGTGAACGTTTTAACGTAATCCTGCGTAGTACAATAGTTAACATATAAACGTTGACAGGCAATGGTAAACATTGGTATAGTAGATATGCCCTAATTTTCATGATATATGAAAATCTCATCCCAGATGATATATATGGTCAACGAGCCATATTCGATCGTATTATAGTCAATTGCATAACGGTATATATATATATATATATATATTTATATATATATATATATATGTATATATATATATATATATATATATATATATATATATATATATATATATATATATATATATATATATATATATATATAGTATAGT